CTTAGGAGATTTCTTTGCTCTCTGTGACCTTCTTAGCTCTGGGTTACTGGCATAAGTCCCCTGACTGGAGGGAGGCGTGAGCCTGTTCTCTCTATTGTGCCCTGGTGTCTTCCAAGGACTGTGCCCCGATGCCTGGCCTGCTTGCTTGCCTACCGGGCTCGTCAGGCCAGGGCTTCTGTTACTTTGTGACCTGGTTGACCTACCTAGCTGTAGACCCTCAGGCCCCTTGAAGTGATAGCCGCTGCTGGGCGTCTCTGTAGAACCTCCTAGGTCAGTCCAAGACCTGTCAGGAGGCTGTCCATTCCCTGAACCCCATTCTGTGTTCGGGCTCGTGTGGGTTTCTGTACTTTCCCAAAACTCAGGTGTTCCCTGATTTGTGCTAGGGTTGTTGTAGTCGGGACTTGGTTCCTCGACTAGCTCTGTGTATGTTTGACCCCCTGTAGGATTTGGGGTAAGGTCAGGCCAACCTTGGGAATTGTGTGCCAGCTCTCTTGCGGGGAATGATTTGTTGGGATGCCCCCGGGTATCCTCCGTTGCTGGAGTGCTGTGTGATGTGTGTGGAAAGTGAGTATGCCCCCGGGGTGACTCCCTGGCTGGAGTAGGCGTGAGTGCCTGTTGTGTGGATAAGCTCCATGACTTTCTTTTCGGAGCAATTGCAGAACCTTGGGACGAGCCGTTTGTGGCTCCCTCAGTGGAGATGGGCAGTAGCTCTTGCCCTTCCCTTTGCTCCAAAGGGTCCCCCTCCCCCCCTGGAAAAGACCCAGGAGTCTCAGCAGAAAAGTCTCGCCTAGAGCGAAGTTGGTCGATGTGCCGACGCAGGACACGACCGTTGTCCAGGGCAACCTCGTAGGAGAGAGGACCTGTGATCCTGGACACAGAAGCGGGGACCCATGTATGACCAGGCCCGTAATTGCGAGCCCAAACCGGGGCACCCACAAGTAGTTGTCTAGGTGCCCTAGGATGTGAGGTAGATGAAGGCAGTCTGTCCGGATGCAACCGGTCAAGTCTAGTAGTAAGTTGGCGCCCCCAACGAAGTTCAGCTGGACTTCTCCCTGTAGAAGTGGACGGTGTGGTGCGATAAGAAAGGAGAAAGTCAGCCAACTGTGATGCCAGTCCCCGTAGGTGAGTCTCTTCAAGGCGTCCTTTGCGATGCGCACCATGCGTTCAGCCATACCGTTGGTGGACGGGTGAAAAGGCGCAGACGTGGCATGACGAATCAGGTTTGCCTGTAAGAAAGCTTGGAATTCGGAGGAGGTGAATTGAGGGCCGTTGTCAGACACAATGACATCTGGCAGCCCGTGTGCAGCAAAAATCCCCCTCAGTACCTGAATAGTCTTTGCAGTGGTGGTGGACGAGACAGGCACAACCTCAAGCCATTTTGAATGGCTGTCAACAAGGACCAAGAAGAACTGGCCCTGAAAGGGCCCAGCGTAGTCAATGTGCACCCTAGACCATGGGGACTGTGTTTCCTCCCATCTATGCACAGGAGCTTGGGGCATCTCTGGGCGAGATCGTTGGCACAGGTGGCATGCGTGTACCTTAGCCTCAATATCTTTATCTAAAGCAGGCCACCACAAGTGGCTGCGTGCAAGAGCCTTCATACGAACAATGCCAGGATGACCCTCGTGGAGGGATTCTAAGACCCTAGTCCTCATTGAGGTGGGAATGACAACTCTGTTTCCCCAAGCAGACAACCCTGAGAAAGGACAGTTCGTTTTCTTTTGGACCAGAAACTCTGAAACTCAGGACTAGGGCAGTGCTCAGGCCACCCGGACAGGACCCAGGAGCGGACACGTGAAAGTGTGTGATCTGTACCTGTTTCAGCGGTAACATCCCTGGCACTAAGAGGGAGCTCGGGCAAGGCTTGGATTGATAGAATGTTGACAGCTGGCGCGGGGTCAGCTTCTACTACTGGCAGAGGCAATCTACTGAGGCCATCAGCATGGCCCATTTCTTTCCCAGGCTTGTGGAGTAATGAAAAATCATATGCAGACAAGAAAATAGACCACCTAAGCATTCTAGGGGAAATGATGTGGGGAGTCTGCTTACGTGTGGTAAACAGTCCCAGCAGAGGCTTATGGTCAGTGAAGACCGTGAAATGCCTGCCATATAGAAAATCGTGGAATTTTTTAATTCCAGCAACAACAGCCAGAGCCTCCCTGTCTATCTGAGCGTAGTTGCGCTCGGCAGAAGACAGTGTTCTGGAGTAGTATGCAATAGGAACCTGAGTTCCATCAGACCTGAGGTGACTCAGGACAGCTCCAACCCCGTAGGGGACGCATCACAAGCGATGCACACAGGGAGAGACTCGTTGAAATGTGCAAGAACACTGTTAGAAGTGAGCAAGGCCTTGACTTCTTTAAAGCAAGCCTCATGCGCTTGTGACCACAGCCACACAGCCTGTTTGTCTAGTAGCCTGTGAAGAGGCTCAGCTACACTAGCTTTATGTGGAAGAAAAGAATTGTAGAAATTCAGGAGGCCTAGAAAGGCCTGAAGTTCGGCCTTAGACTTTGGCCTGGGTGCATCTAAAATAGCAGTTAGTTTGGATTCAGCAGGATGAATCCCAGCAGCATCAATTTTGAATCCCAGAAATTCAGTAGAAGGCACCCCAATCTGGCATTTGTCTTTTCTGAGCTTGAGGCATGATTTCCTGAATCTTAACAGGACAGCCCTAAGCCTTTCAGCTAGAATGTGTGTGGAGTCTCCTGCAATCAAGACATCGTCAAAGTAGGGGCAGACCCCTGGTATACCTCGTAGTGTGTTTTCCATAACGCTTTGGAAAATCCCAGGAGCGACATTCACTCCAAACTGTAGACTTTTTACTTTAAAGGCTCCCCTGTGGGTCACAATGGTCTGAGCTATGGCAGCATCATCATCAACAGGCAGCTGTTGATATGCTGGAGCTAGGTCAAGCTTTGCAAAAACACGCCCCCCCTTGAGAGAGGCCAGGATGTGACTGACCACAGGAACAGGATAGGCATGTTGCTGCAATGCCTTATTGAGTGTGCATTTGTAATCAGCACAAATGCGAATGTCCCCATTTGCCTTTAGAGGCGTGACAATGGGGGTCTCCCACGGGCTGGAATCAACAGGTTCTAGGATTCCCTGTTGGATTAGTTTGTCTAGTTCAGTGTCAATCTTACTTTTTAAAGCAAAAGGGACCCTTCTTGCTTTAATCCTAATGGGAGTGACAGTGGGGTCTAGCTTTAAGGACACAGGTGGTCCTTTGAATGTGCCCAGCTGGGGGCTGAAAACATCTGCAAATTCTTTGCAGACTTCCTGTAGGTCGAGTGTTTGTAAGCTGTTGAGTCCTGTGACGTGTATCCCCAGGGCCTCAAACCAATCGAGTCCTATGAGACTCGTTCGTTCACCCCCTACTACTAATAAGTCTAGTGGACCTTCAAAACTCTTGTATTGCACGTTAAGGGTGGCCTCCCCCTTAACACACACTCTTGAGTTCTGAAAATCTGTTAATACAATATCAGAAGGCCTTAACTTGGCCTTAGTCCCACTACTGGAACAAATCTTCCTAAATGTATGCAATGAAATGATGGAAAGGGCAGACCCTGTGTCTAGTTCCATAGATAATGGAACCCCTTGTAGCTTCACGTTGAGTGACAGCTTTTTCTTCATGGGCTTGTGTGTGCCTGTTCTACAGATGCTTCTTCGCGAAGCGCAAAAACCTACCCTATTCTGGCTGGGGAATCTGGTACCCTTCAGGCGTTCTTCTTGGGGTTGTGCCTTTCGTCGGCCCAGGCACACAGCTGCAATGTGCCCTTGTTTACCGCATGCCCGGCAGGTAGCGGAGCGGAACTTGCAGTCGGTTCTCCTGTGGCGTCCCTCCACAGCCGATGCACTTGAGCGGAGCCGAAGAGCTTCCCTTCTGGTTTTCGTCCCTCGCGGGGTGTAGACGGTCGACTTCCTCGTCCGGATCCTCCTCGGAGTTTCGTCGGACGTCTTCCTGGTGCACGGACGCACCCTCTGCACTGTTTCTGATCGGCCGCATGTTTTGGACGGCGCCGCCTGCTGCTTCTTCTGCGGTGACTTCCCTTAAGGCGTCTTGGAAGGATAATTCTTCCTTTGCGAAAAGTCTCTTTTGTAGCTCTCGATGCCTTAACCCGCACACGAATCGGTCCCTCAGTCGTTCCTCGAGGTCCTTGAACTCGCAGGGCTTGGCGGCCTTCCGTAACGCGGCGATGTATTCCTTGGCTGACTCACCGGACCGTTGATCCCTCTGTTCGAAGATGTGGCGCCATGAGATAACGGACACCTTGGGGTTGAAGTGCTCCTTCAGCAGCTTCTTCAGGTCTGCGTAGCTTACAGACTCTACTGGGACAGGTGCTGCAAGGTTTTCTGCGATTTCGAAGGCGTCTTGGCCGCAAACGCAAAGCAGGGTGGCCGCCTTCAAGCTATCTTCCCTCACTTGGTTTGCCTTGAAGTAGTTCTCCATTCTGGATACGTAGGACTCCCACCGCTCTGGATGTGAGACGTCGAATTCCGAAAGCCTTCCGATTTTCGCCATCTTCGGATCTTCAGGAGACGGGTCTATCAGCCAGCCTACCCCCGAATGCGCACCGGATTGGCGGGCAGCTGCCGAGTCGACGCCGTTCCTCTTTCGCCGCTCAGGACTCCTTGGGTAAGCTTACACTTCTTCCTTTCCAGGTAGTGCAAGGCATCCCATCCTCGTCGCCAGTGTTGAGTCCGTGGCGGGAAAACAGACACGAGAAGCAGCTGGAGTTCTCAGTTTCTTTTATTCAGCGTTCAGCTTACAGGAAGATGGCTTCAGCCTCGCCCAAACGCCTCGCAGCCTCTTATATAGGCAACTCCCGGGTAAATGGGTTACTTTTCCCGCGCCAGCACCCGCGCATGCGCACGGCGCTGGCGACAGCCTGTCTGGTCCCGGGCAGCTTTGCACCTGCCCGGGACTGCCTGCAAACGCCCGAGCCATTTGCAAGGCTCGGGACATAACAGTCACGTTACAGCAGCAGCAGTGGCAGTGGCAGGGGGAGTGAAAATGGGAAGCACCTGATCATCGCTGCCTCGCTGCCAATTGCCCCGATGTGCTTTGTCATCTGCCCACCTGCTCACCTGGCTTTCCGGCTGCCCACAGTGAGTTGTCCCCATAGTGAGTTGTCTGTGTGGAGTTGTCTTGCAGCAACTTAGCAGCGGTTAGTTGGTGGAGGCAGGTTGGCAGTGGCGAGCTGGCTGAAGTGAGCTAGCCACAGCGAGTTATCCTAGACCCCTCTCAGCGTGTGCTATGTTTCATCCAACTTATCTTGCCTGGGTAGGTGTGCACAATTCCACACAAAGGACTGGACTGCAGTTGCTCACCATTTTTACTTTTCAGCAAATACTTAGAAGAGGTTCAGAAGCTGCCTTATAGCTAAAGGTGCTTCTAAAGGTTGTCACTTTGTTATGCAGTACGCATGCTTCCCAGTCATTTATTATTATTATTATGTTAAAAATAACTAAATAACATCCAGTGATGTATGGATCTTGGTGTGTGATTAAATAGGTGTTGAGGGTTCTGCCCTATTACATTGTCTGCCCCATACTTTATTTCATTTCTTATTTAGGAAATCTGCTCATTGTTTTTCTATCTTCACTGTCTTGTCTTGAGGACCTGAGCCTTGTGAAGTAACCACTTGGACCACTGAAACACTGGAGTGCAAATCTCATTATAGGCATATATAATCTTCTAACTCAACACCCCAAAACTGGATATTGCACTGAGATTTAAGGAACAAGGATCCTATGAGTTGGGCGGCCACGGGGAAAATCAGACTAAATATGGGGAATAGGTGTTTCTGAGGATTCCTAGGGAAGGATATTTTGCTTTAAAACATGAATAAGGAGACTATTTGCTGGAAAGATTGTGAATGGAAAGGGGGCTGGTGAGCAAACACATCCTGAATGGAGAATAGAGAGAATTCTATGAAATATAGATCCAAAGCAGCATCGCTCAAGAATCTCATGCCTCTTACTCCATACATGCTGTTTCAACAGCCTATTCATACATGAAAGAATACAGGAAATTAGTTCCTAGAACTAAATGTCTCTAATGGCATAATTAGTAACAAGACTAATGCTGTCTTTCACGTAGTCAGTCTGTCTGGTTGCTCCAGCTTGCTCTGTATATCTGCTTCTGAAGTCGACAATTGTTTTCGGTTGGTTAATCTCTCTGTTAAATCAGATTGTGTCCGTTGCTTGTAGGCTACAAAACTGCAAGGGAGAGAAAAGGAAGTAAAATGGAGAAAGTGAATTAATTTCCAGGGGTAAATGACCTCACCTACATTTCTGAAATACCCAACATTTTATTTTTTTGAAGTTGGACAATGGATAATCTTTTTTTTTTTTTTTTTTGACAACTGACCCAAGGCTACCTCAAGTGGTTTTGCTCCTGGAGAAGGAGAAAAAAAAAACCCTGCCTTCTCAAATATACTTTTCCAAAGGTCAACTGGACTTTCTTGGTTTATTGCTTGAAAATGTTTTGCATCTCATCCAAGAAGCTTCTTTAGCTCTCATCTTGGATAAGAAGTGAAACGTTTTCAAGAAAAAAAAACCAAGGTATTCCAGTTGCCTTTTAGAAAAGCACCTTTGAGACAATCATGACCTAGACAATTGAGAATCTCCTTAGATCTTCTTTCTCAAGATAAATCTTATATTACCAGCATTGCAGTAAAATATCTGAGGTTCAAAACCCCACACGTAAAGCATAACCCAAGAGAACCAAATACATAAAAAGGGGCTAGTAACTTTTGTGGACATTCCTAGAGAAGAGTTTGTGCAAAGGATAGTCTGATGTTGCCTCTGGCCAAACTTCAACCCACCTAAATCCATTTGTTGGATTTCAGTAAGAGCATTGGCAGTCTGGAGTCCAGAATGACATAAATATTGCCATCTTCTTGAACATATATGGAAATTTGGGGGGATGGCAATACTAAGGCTTCTTAGCGCTTAGGTAATATATGAATTTTGCCCAGCTCTTCTTCCTCTGCAAGGGTTCTATAATATATAATTTAAAAAATACAGGAGTAGATTATGACCAGTAGGAGGCATGGTTGGGGGTTCATCATAATGAATTACATTGACCCAATGCCAGCCTCCTGCTTCAGGAATTTGAAAAATCTTTGCCTTGGACCGCATTGAACAAAGCTTAGGAATCCATGTACATGCAGATAAGGAAAATCAGCTTTGTCTTTAAAAAGTCCACTTTGCCTTAGTTTACTTTACCTGATAGGGATAAGAGTTAGGCAACCAATGACACATGAGAGAAGGAAGCAGAATCCACTGAACCAGCCCAGGGTTTGTTGGTAAATTTTATTATAGGCTGTTGTTGTCACAACTCCAGTGATCACAAGTGACAGCTGCAGGAGGACAAACACTTTTCCTAGGGAAGAAAAGAAAGCAGATGTAAGATTGAATGAAAAAGAATTTAGGGCATATTTCTACTAGAACCCAGTTCACTTGCAATTTATGTAGCTAATTTGTTAATTTTTTAAAAAATGTAATTACAATGTAGTACTGGCTTGAGAGCACGTTTTAATTTCAGCTTGTGAAAAGTTATTCTAAAGTGCACTTGCTGGATTGCTTCAATTATAGAGAAGTAGAATTCAGCATTTATGGCACAAACACCTTATATAATCATTTCTGAACTTCTTAAACCAGTTTGAACATTTGTCATTCTGTAAACAAGATGTTGTAGCCAGAATGTTATTGTTGCTTACTATTAATAGGACAAGCAACTGCAGATTACTGCTAGAAACTAATTCTATAGCCAATTATAATATTGGCAATAATTATGTTGATTTCAGAAAGCTAATGTTACATAATGGAAGAGCTTGACAAGTGGAACTTCCTTTGAATTGGAATTTGGAACTATAACCGGTTTAAAATTCTGATGTAGGATTAAGGCAGGGGTCTTCAAACTTGGCCCTTTAGTGACATGTGGACTTCAACTCCCAGAATTCTTCAGCCAGTGTGCCTTTTCTGGGAGTTGAAATCCACAAGTCATAAAAGGGTCAAGTTTGAAGACCCCTAGATCAGGGGTTCTCAACCTTGGCAACTTTAAGATTTGTGGACTTCAACTTTGCTGGCTGAGGAATTCTGGGAGTTGAAGTCCACAAGTCTTAAAGTTGCCAAGGTTGAGAACCCCTGCCCTAGATTAAGGAGTGTATAGCTCTATCTCAGACAGCATTCTGGTTTCCTTTATGGCAGTTGGGAAATTATTACTTCCTGACTTTTGAAATGTGATATTAATATACTATAAACAAAACTCTGGAGGACAATTTGGGCTGAGAGTCACTGCTAGCAGGATAGGGAGAGGCTTAGTAATGCTTGTCCATTCCTTGTTGTCCCCATTTCATCCCCCTGTCCCTCAAAGCAGTGCTTTTCCTGATACTCAGATCTATGTTGTGAAGTCAAAAAGGTGAATTAATCCTTTCTTCTAAGTTGGTTCAACCTGACTCCGGGAGGGTAAATAGCTCACAATTAATCAAAGATACCGTGGCTTTATTTGGGAGATGATTTGGGTTTCTGGATTCATAGAAAAATACCAGAGCTTTGAATGACCAACTAACTGTAGCCCAAGCCCAAGTTGGTTATATATTTATACATGACCATGGGTTATTCTTCTGGAAAAAGAAATGCCCTACTAGATAGGGCCATAGGTCATTTCTCCAACTTCCTGTTTCCATCATGTGTAGGCTCATTGCCACTGGGGAGGGGGGAGAGAGGGATGTTGGTTTATAGAAAAGGGATACATTGCAACTGGACAATTGGACAACTGGTCTGAAATGGTATAGGGTCTCCTGCTTGCGCTGTGGGTTGGACTAGAAGACCTCCAAGGTCCCTTCTAGCTCTATTCTGAATCAAATGAGAAGCCTTCAGAAAGTCTAGATTGGTGACAGCCTATGATGACTGTTGGACTCCTAACAGTCTAGCACAAGGGTGTCAAATTCAATTTCATTTAGGGCCCCATCAGCATTGTGATTGCCCTCGAGGGCCGAGTGGGTGTGGCGAGAGTGGGTGCGGCCTACGGGGTGGGCGTGGATGGAGTGGGTGTGGCCTACTGGTGGGCATGGCCAGCTCTACATCGTTCACATCAAGGGTGCCTGTGGGGGCCTGGGCAGGAGTGGGACAGATCTGAGGGTCTCTGGCAGAAGGAGGTGGGACCGGGGCAAGTGCCAAGGCATGGTCCATTTCTTCATTCCTCACAAAGGGTGACACATCCCCAGCATGCACCCAGGGGGCGGGGCCAACATGGCAGGGGCTGGTTCCTCACTGTTTCCAGACGACCTTGTGGAGCTAAGACTGAATGCGTTTCAGCATAGATGGCCACCACAAAATTGTACATTGGCTCCCGGCCAGCCTGGGCCAGGGCCAAGGCAGCAGGGGCCGTTCCCTCACTATTTCCAGGATGGCTTCACGGGCCACATGAAACCACTTCGCAGGCCGCGTCCGGCCCCCGGACCTTGTGTTTGACATGTCTGGTCTAGCTGGATCCAAAATTGGTGCCTATGCTAGATTTTTTTTGTGTGGGGCAGCCACAAACTACACTTTAACTTTTCCCTTCAGTAACCCAAAAGGTTCAATGACATTGTATGAAATATTAAAATGGAAGCTTAAAGTTACGGCGGCTGCTTTTCATAAGTCTCTGTCCAAAAAAGCCCATAGAAAGCCTTTTGCTAAGGGTGCTTTCACATCAGCCCTCCTTGTAAATCAGACAATGTGGAATCACCCAGGGCATTTTCTAAATTACAGAAGGAAAGGTATGTGCCTCCAACTCATGAAAGCTTTCGTCAAAGCCTGAGGCATTGATACTCATAGAATATAGTCTTACAAGTAAGCGTAAGAATTTGGTTCTGACTCATCCCAGTCGGATTACTGCATGCTTCTGTGACATCAACCCAAATGATAGGAATAAACTCAAGTGAGCGTATTCTGAAAGTCAGTGTTTTCCAAAGAAATAAAGACAGAACCGTTTCTTACCGTAGGTTGAAGCTTCAACATGTTTGGATAACAAAGATCTGATGGTTGGCAAGGGAATCAGGGCAAAGAGCATCACACCACGAGCTGTAACAGAGCAGAATACAGAAGGATCAGGTTAAATGCCCAGCCTTTTTAAGGAAGATCAGAGTGTAGTATTTTAAAAAGCACAAATGCGAAGCCTCAGCATCATGTTTCGGCATGGCTGGCAACTAAGGCCGTTTTCCTCAACTTCGTCTTGTTTGCTGGACAAATGATGGGGAGAGTTACATTCTTAAGACAGTGAGAAATCAGTCTGAACATAGGGCACTAAAGCCAACCTCTCTAAAGCAGTGGTTCTCAACCTTTTTAATGCCGCGACCCCCAACTGTCGTAAGTCGAGGACTACTCAACCGGTTGTAAGTCGAGGACTACTCAACTGGTGCAGCACTGTTTGCAGAATGGGACTTTTGGTGGGCTCAGCAGGGCAGAGACAGCCTGGACAATTCCTATTGGCTTTTGAAAGCCAATAGAATTAGACTCTATTCAAGAGAGTCTATTCTATTGGCTTTCAAAAGCCAATAGACTAAAAGGGAGTAGCACAGCTAAGGAAAAGGGGAAAAAAATGGCGGACTGCATTGTTTGGCGACCCCCGTGAAATGGTTGTTCAACCCCAAATGGGGTCCCGACCCACAGGTTGAGAACCACTGTCCTAGAGACTGCAAATAGTCAAGATTTGACCAAAGATACAGAAGACATAGTTATATCTCATGACCAGTCCATAGGCACTTTCTTGCCACCCAAAAAATAATAATAATGAAACTGGTGTGAATTGCTTGCTTTTCTTGAGAGTCAACTACAGATTTATTTTCAGAAATGATAGAAGTGACAGCTAAGGAAAAGGGGGAAAAAATGGCGGACTGCATTGTTTGGCGACCCCCGTGAAATGGTCATTCGACCCCAAATGGGGTCCCGACCCACAGGTTGAGAACCACTGCTCTAAAGTATATTATAATCTCCAGATGTAAGGCAGGTGATAAGTAGCAACAACAGGAATAATAGCAGTGGCTTGGTGGCCTGTTAAATGAGAATATTTTCCGCTAGACAATACTCTATGAAATATCAAAGGCAGTGCCTATGTTCTGGAAAAAGGTCTGAAAACTGCTGTCAGAGAACAGCGCCAGGGATCTGAGTAAGCCAGAGAGAAAGACTTGCCTTCCCCTTCCATCAGGGATTTAAGTGACAGCAGAGATGGACAAGATGTCCATGGTCTGGAGGAGTCAGAGGAAGGAGGGCTGCAATGGGTGGCATAATATTACAAATGGGATGATGCTATACCATTTAATATTGATGGAATTAAGAAGGTCTATTAATGCTGGCTTTTGGAGACACACACATATATAAACCCATACATGTGGGCATATTTTTAAATGTGCATTCAAAACTAGATGAATTGATTTAAAGGTAGTCCTCAGCTTACGACCACAATTGAGCCTAAAATTTCCACTGCTAAGCAAAACTGTTGTTAAGTGGGTTTTGCCCCATTTTACGACCTTCCTTGCCACAGCTGTGAAGTAGATCGCTGTAGTTGTTCAGTTAGTAACAAGGTTCTTAAGGGAATCTGGCTTCCCGGTTGGCTTTGCTTGTCAGAAGATCGCAAAAAGTGATCACATGACCCCAGGGCGCTGCAACCGTCATAAATATGAGTCAGTTGCCACGTGTCCAAATTTTGATCATGTGACCTTAGTGATGCTGCAGTCGGAAATGTGAAAAATGGTCATTGTAATTCTGAATGGTCACTAAACTAATAGTTGTAAGTCGAGGACTACCTGTAGTATATTTTATTCTGTCTTCCAAAGCCCTTCTGATGTGCAATGCCTGGGAATTAAAGCATCTTGTTAATTTTGTCTTTCACCCCTTTGTGAATACTAGGGAATACAGTCTTCAGGAGAGAATTCAGCTTTTTAAGAAATTTAATTTTTACTTGAGAGAACAAGTTTCCACTAGCCTTCATTGTCACAAAACTATGCTTGGGAGTGTGCAGACAATGCGTGGTAAAGCTTCAGAAGCCACAGAAAAGGCCAAGAGCATAGAGAACTGTCAATTATGAAAGATGAGGTTTCAGAGATCTATGACCCTTCCCACTCCTAATGTTTACGAGAAGTTAAATAAATTATACAGCATAGCACATATGCAGTTGCATAATGTATTATAAATATCAGAAGTATGATTTTGATTGCTGCAGAGTTTATATTTCTGCATCTAAAGTGCTTCTATAAAGTTGCTTTAGTTAATGACCTTATAGATCCAGTGGTGGGATTCAGCCGGTTCACACCAGTTCGGCAGAACCGGTAGCTAATTTTTTGTTCCCCAGGCTCAGAATGGACTTCCAGAAGTGGCATCCACACACAGAGCCAGTTGTTCACGTATTTGAATCCCACCACTGTACAGATCCCACGTGGAAGTGCAATGGGAGTCACATTTGTGCAGCCTTTTTAGAGCAGTGGTTTCCCAACTTTTCCAGCTCTGGGGACCAACAGCGGCAGTGGAGGGTGGCAGCAGCAGTGGAGACGGGATGGTTTTGCGCGCTCAATTTAATCCCAAGATTGTGCACATGGAGCTTTGTGTGCTCGCCTGTCACTTGTACTGCCTGGTTTTTAACAGGCCACAGACGGGTAGCAGTCCATGGACTGGGGTTGGGGACCCCTATTATAGAGACTTATTCAAAAGCAAGGTGAATTGGGTTTACTTTCACATAAATTAGAATAAGGCTCCATCTTGAATTTACTAAAGGTCAATATAAAAGAAGAGTAACAAATCTTTCATGAAATTAAAAAAAAATCTGTGGATTGAATTAAAGAGAGGGGCATGGAAAGGATCTGACTCACCAATGTAAAACAGGAATGTCCATCGCACAAAGGCCATAATAAGAATGCCAGCTGAGAAGGACACAATCCCGATCATGATCATGGTGGTGTCTCTTAGAAACTTGGAAAACACAAAGACTCCCAGGAAGCTGGTAATGAAGATCAGGTGGCCAGCAGCATTGGCATAGCCAACATATTCTGGTCCCCAGCTCAGTGGTTTCTTGAGGAAGAAGAGTGGCAGCACATTCACTGCTCCAACTACCGCCAAATCATATAGCATGGCCCCCGCAAAGAGCATGGCAATAATGGACCTGGCAGGTCTCAAATTGGGGGAACACTCACATCTACGGAACTGAAAATTCTCTTCATCGGCCAAACTGCTGTCAGGCTGGATCACATTTGTGGAAGTGGCTAGGTCACAAACTCCAGGCTTGGGGACTTGGAGGACAAATAGACTATAGATGACACACAAGGCATATAAGGCAACACTACAGGAAATCAGCACTATACCATGCTGATAACCGAGATGGAAGGTAACAAAGAGGTGTCCCGAGGCAATGCTTCCCACAAAACCAGCAATGCCATAAATGAGCTCAATGCTGATGAAACGCAGTGATCTTCTGCTCTCTGATGAGCCCTGGGAGGCCAGTGCCATGATGCTGGCCCAGTACGTGGTGAATCCTCCAGTCAAGCCATGCAAGATAGCAGCCCCATACATCACCTCAATTGGCCAAGCCAACAAGATCAAAAGGAGTAGAAGGAAACGGGAGAGTAAGTAGCCAGCTAAAGGTACACCAATGCTGATCTTCCGATTTATCCGGTCACCCAGCCTAGCCAAGCCATAAGCAGATAACAGTGGGGTTAACCCGTCAACAAGATGGTAGATGATGTAAAAATCAGAGATTGCTTTTTGTTGAGCCTCCTCGCTGGAATGCGCTGAAGAAGAGTTGGTCCCGTTGTAGTAGTTCTTCACCACCAGCAGCAGTCCTGTGTCATAGAAAGCACTGGCAAGCTGAGCACCAGCCACAAGAGGTTCAATCCAGATCTTCATTGTGTCAGCATTTGTGGTCCCTGGAGACAGTGGCTTAATTTGTCTGAGGAAAAGGAGAGAAGAAGGCTGGGAGCCAACCCAGTCCTTCTAATCTGAAAATAAAAGCTTGCTTACAACATTAGAGGCAGAAGCTAAGAAGAGATTTCCTCTCTCAGCCTCCTCAAACAGGTTTTTTTCTTCCTTCTTCCCTCCCTCTTTCTGTCAAGCTCCGATTGTCTTAGCAGGCACTGGGAACATGCGGTGTGCCCCAATGAACTGACTCTTCCGTGTGCCTTCAAGAAACCACATGATCTGAGTTGAGAAATTTCTCAACCTGATTTTTAGGAAGCGAAAGAAGTTTGGCCAGTGTGTTTTAGTGACCCAAAATATTACATTACAATGAAGCTTCTGCTGGTGTGCTTGTGTGGGAGTGTATGTCTGTAAATGCTCTTGCTCCCTCCCCCCCCCTACCAGAAGTTCAGCTTTCTATTCAGAGTGTTGGCAAGAGACAATCCTGACCATTTTGAGGTTGCCATCTTTTTCTTGACAATACTTCTCAAACTTATCCTGAGGGAGAAGGGAAGTGTAGTAAGGTGAACTCCATGGTGTTGGTAAGAGTCATGGAAGACATGTGAAGCATCATGTGAATTTGACAGTGTGTGTAGTCCAAAAAGACAGAATATTTATATTATTTATTTATTTAATGTATCTATATCTATCTATCTTATCTGTCTATCTATCTATCCATCTATCATTTATCTCTATCATCATCTATCCTCTCTCTCTCTCTCTCTCTCTCTCTCTCTCTCTCTCTCTCTCTCTCTCTCTCTCTCTCATCTATCTATCATCTATCTATCTATCATCTATCTATAATCTATCTATCATCTCTAACAAACTTGCCCATGGCAATTATATGCCTCTAGGGGGTTTGCAATAAAACTGTAAAGTGATATAAAAGCTATAGGTAAAAACATGTTAAAAACCAGATTAAAACAAAGCTAAAAGGAACAACTGCAAAGTTACAAGACAACAGGAGCATCTTTTTCCCAACCCCAACAAACCACCCAATGTGGCACTTTTAGTGTGAAAGATGGTGTGGAAAAGGGTCGATGGGTAGGATAACTAAGTAAATATTAGTCCTTTTCCATGTCTGAGAAAGAAAATGGGTCGATAAACAAAATGCCTGAGTGATGGGTTAAAAAAAAAGTTCCCTGCCAGCTTTACTACAGAAACTGCTCACAGGTAGATCAGCAAAAGAAGGCTTCTGCCACACCTTGTTACAATGAGCAAGCTTCTTTTTCTCAGTTCATCACCATAATACAGGCAGTCCTCAACTTATGACCACAATGGAGCCCAAAATTTCTGTTGCCAAGCGAAACATTTGTTAAGTGAATTTTGCCCCATTTTATGACCTTTCTTGCCACAGTTAAGTGAATCGCTGCAGTTATTTAGTAACACGGTTGTTAAGTGAATCTGGCTTTCCCACTGACTTTGCTTGTCAGGTCGCAAAAGGGGGGTCACTGCAACTGTTATAAATATGAACCAGTTGGCAAGTGATTTAATTGTGATGATGTTTCCAAGGGGATGCTGCAACGGTTGTAAATGTGAAAACGGTCCTCAGTCACTTTTTTCAGTGCCGTTGTAACTTCGGACGGCCACTAAACGAACTGTTGTAAGTCGAGGACTGCCTGTAAGAATACTCTTTAACAGTGCCGATTTGACCCTTCCCAAACATTCCAAGGTGGCAGATAGATTAGGGGCTATAGAAATCACAAATCGTCAGACTTGTACATACTTGTTTTTGGCTGCAATCTTGCACAATCATTCCCCTCCCTGTACAGAAAAGGCTTTCGGATCTGATGACAACTCTCTTCTCTAAATTGGACACCACCGTTCAGTGGATTAAGTGGGGAACAGCACGACAGTCTCGTTCAGTGTTTTCTTTGGATGAGAGGACTTTTATGTTTTTGTACTTCGAGTTAGAAAAACCGGCATTATGTTTCATCAAAGTTGTTTCCTGGAAAAGATTGTGATTTTTTTCTTTCTTGAGATCAGGAACACTGCAGCTGATAGGCGATTTTTCATCTCTGTTTATAGACCTGATGATTTTTTAGTGTTTCTTTGAAAAGCAGTCTTCAGTTCTGCTTTCTTAAAATAGTTAAAAGCTCTTGCCAAATCAGCAATAGGGAAGGGAAAACCCCACACCAAAATTTCAGTGATACTTTCTTTGCCCATTAACATTTTCCTTTCAAGCAGTTTGAAACAAATATGCTTTCAACCCATATTTGGTTTTCCAGTCAGAGCAAAGGCTGTGGATTACAGAAACTTATTACAACTTACATATGTTGATAGAGAAGTGTTTCCCAAATCACATTTGGGAATGGACTTTACTATACCAGAAAGGTGAGTAAAAGGAATTTGAGTCCCAAAGTAGTGTGTGTTACAAGATAGCTGTTGCGTATTTCAGAATACATTGATTGTTATTAAATACCTGAGTGCTCACAGGGAAATTTTCAGATACTTTGCATCTTTAGAGAAGGATAGACAGATCCCTTTTTTTATAGTTTCCAGTAATCTTGTTTAAATCAAGCAAATGTTTGCCAAGCATACCGTGTAAGGCTATTCACAGTCTAGGCAAAGAATTAATCATCATAGACTCGGGTGGCTTTTTAGAGTTATAAAACAAATCTAAATCAAGTTACAACTGACAGCATTTATTAGAGAATCAAGAACAGAAGCTCAGAAAGGACCAGATACTTCTTAAAATACCGTACTTTCTGGCGTATAAGACCACTTTCGAAAGCGTTGAAATCGGCGCCGAAGTCGGGGATCTTATATGCCGAGTTGTCTTATGCACCAGAAATAACGGTAGTTTCTGACGTATAAGATGACTTTCTAGGCATGCAACTCGGCGCCGAAGTCGGGGGTCATCTTATGTGCCGGAAAATACGGTAAGTTGCTTAATTAAATATTTATGGGAGTGAAAGTGCTTTTTGCCTACACTGTAACTTATCGCTTGAACCAAAATGCCCCAGAATCAGATTGCTTCCTCCTGTTTATCCCATGTCCTTCCTCCACACCTGTGACGTGTCAGTCAGGCTACCAGGCATGGAAAAAAGTGCAGGGTAGAATAGGAAGAGCAATCAATCATGAGCAGGCTGCTCCTTGGCCACAGTTGTAAAGGAATGGCAGTGCTGATAGTAAGTAATTGCCGCAGGCAGAAGTAGTCCATGGTGGAGGCAAAATGGGATCACCACAACAACAGGGTTAAGAGTACAGCCACACAAAGCCTCTGCTTGGCAGAAAGCAGGAGAAAACCTGTAATGCATACCATGGTGACCGAACCAGCAGCACAACTGGAAAAACCTGCCTTTGTTTCCTAGCTTAAGTTGACATTCTGTGCAGCTTTTTTCAATATTTTAAAAAAGCAGATCTGACACCCTTTCAAGACAGCTATACTCATGTATTTAAGGAACCTATCTAAGGTCTAACCAGGGCTTTAGAAAGCACTAGTCAGGTATTCCATAGGGGGTGAGTAACATTTGGAGAAACTTGCCCCAGTCAAAATGGCTCTGGAGAACAATCCGCCAGAAGACCACAGCTATTGCACAGGTCCCATCATAATTCTGTCATCAACCCCATTGGCAATGAATGTGCTAGATTGTGCTGTTGGCCAAAATTGGATCAAGAGACAGGAAAACACTATTTTTATAGGGAACAGCTAAAGTTACTGTAAGCTGCCTCATCTGTGGGTTGGAGATGAAATGAGGGCAATGTCATCGTGTGTCAGGGCAATTTTCTGTTATGGTTTAAGGCAGAGGTAAAGAACCTTGGCTTTTTTATGACTTGTGGACCTCAATTCCCAGAATTCCTGGGTCAGCATGGCTGGTTCAGGAATTCTGGGTATTGAAGTCCACAAGTCATAAAAGAGCCAAGGTTCCCTAGCCCTGGTTTAAGGGAAAAGGAGGATGACCCTATATCAATAAAACCCTCCTTTTTTACAACCCTGTAATACCTTAATTCAGGGTATCAAATGGAGAGGAATAATTGCTGGATCCATAAAAAAAAATACCTTTTGCAAAAAATCTCACCAAGAAAACACGAATTATGGATAACAATGCACATATCAGTGTATTATGTTGTTAATTGATCTATATATCTCATTGTGTAATATGTCTTTGTGAAGGGAAGACATCCTTTGAATAGTTTCAAATTAATTTTTTTAAATACCATTGAATATCTTTACGTTTCTGTATGTTGTATTTCTGACAGTTTTGATAGTCTTCCTTCCCCAGTCAGGAGCAAGAGCTTATTCAGAAATCACACAGAAATCTAATAAATCCAAATGGAATTCATGATCACTCTTATTTTGGTGTATTTAAGGGGATGAGGCGCCTCTCAGTTTGCCCATCTACCACTTCAAGAGTTTGCATTGCTTTCCAGTTAGTTTTCAAATATAATAATAATATAATATAGTATAATATAGTATAATATAGTATAATATAGTATAATAAAGTATAATATAATATAATATAATATAATATAATATAATATAATATAATATAATATAATATAATATAATTTTCAATGGTGAAAAAAGTAAGGTTCTACATTTAGGCAAGAAAAACCAAATGCACAGGTATAGTATAGGGGGTACCTTGCTCAATAGTAGCAACTGTGAGAGGGATCTTGGAGTCCTAGTGGACAATCACCTAAATATGAGCCAACAGTGTGTTGCAGCTGCCAAAAAAGCCAACACAGTGCTGGGCTGCGTTAACAGAGGGATAGAATCAAGATCACGTGAAGTATTAATACCACTTTACAATGCCTTGGTAAGGCCGCACTTGGAATACTGCATCCAGTTTTGGTCACCACGATGTAAAAAAGATGCTGAGACTCTAGAAAGAGTACAGAGAAGAGCAACAAAGATGATTAGGGAACTGGAGGCTAAAACATATAAGGAACGGTTGCTGGAATTGGGTATGTCTAGTTTAACGAAGAGAAGGATGAGGAGGGACATGATAGCAGTGTTCCAATATCTCAGGGGCTGCCACAAAGAAGAGGGAGTCAAGCTATTCTCCAAGGAGCCTGAAGGCAAGACGAGAAGCAATGGATGGAAACTGATCAAGGAGAGAAGCAACTTAGAACTAAGAAGAAACTTCCTGACAGTTAGAACAATTAACCAATGGAACAACCTGCCTCCAGAAGAAGTGAATGTTCCAACACTGGAAGTTTTTAAGAAGAGACTGGACAGC